CACCCCTACCCGGGGGGTGTTCAAGAGGGGGTTAGATGAGTATCTAGCTGGCGTCAGCTAGACCCAGCACTCTTGCCTGCTTATGCAGGGGGTCGGACTCGATGATCTATTGAGGTCCCTTCCGACCCTAATATCTATGAATCTATGAACTTAGCCGGCTCAACACCAATAGCACCAGCAGCATCAAAGGGGTGGCAGGGAAGGGGGATGTAGCAGCGCAGGTAAAAGTGCAGAGGTACCTGGGGAGTCAGATGTCCAGCAGGTCGCAGTGTGCCAATTCCACTGTCTAATCTATATTGAGTCCATGAGTTTCTGTACCTAGCAGGCTAATGAAGTACAGTTCATAGGCCCAGCTGTGAAAAGTGGTTTGTAATTTGTTCCCTCTCAGGATCAGGCCTGAGAGGCTGGAGGCACAGTGTTTTTTGGTGAGGAATGTGCCCCCACAGGTAGTTGGGTTTTGTTGTCTTTGATAGATCTGACGCTCCAGGTACCTCTGCTACATCTGTGCTGCTACATCCCCCTTCCCCCCACTCCCCCAGCTTGTCCCTCACCCCATGACGCCGCCATTCCATTTTCACTGCCTGGCTTTCTTGCCTGCATTGTGTGCCAGGCAAGCCTTTGGCTTCTTTACTATTCCTTCCATCCAGGACCAGGAGACACATCAACTGCATGTACTTCCTCAGCCTGATAAACGGTTTTTCAACCCGAAAGCTTCCTAAGATATATTTTTCTAACTATTTCTTTTTTTTCATAATCAACATATAAACATAAAAACACAAGATAAGCCATCACAGCTTGACAGATGGCAGGCTTTGTGTTTGCAGCAGGCCCTAGCAGGCCTGCAGTTTTCACCTCCCTGTGCTTTAACACACACACAGTGTTACCTATGTCATGAGTTTTGCTTGTCAGCAGTTTGAGGTGCAGTTTCCCAGAAACCCCTATGCCTTTCTCCTTGAAACTTGGCAGACTTTGTGGCCTCAGCAAGGGCTACCACTACTGCAATTTTCACCCCACTGTAGCTTAACACACACATGTGACATGAGTTTTGCTTGTCAGGAGCTTGAGGTGCAGTTTCCCATAAATCCCTGTGCCTATCAATGTGAAACTCGGCAGACTTCATGCCCTCAGCAGCAGCTACCGCCCCTGCAAGTTTCATCCAAATCAGCCAAAAAATAACAAAAGGTATAGATATTTCATTAATTCCCCATTATATCCTATGACTGAATCTCCAAATGTCTCTGAATCTTTTCCAGAGCGATTCAGTCAAATCGAATCAGAAAGGTGATTTGAATCTCCAAATCAAATTGGCTGAATCTGAATCAGAATTGAATAGTTGCCTATTCGCACAGGCCTAGTAACTAACCAGCTGGACGAGGGATATGAGGTAGACATCATTTACCTACACTTCAGTAAGGCCTTTGACTCTTGTCTCCTATGAAATTATCTCCGTTAAACTGGAGGATACTGGTCTGGACCAGCTTATGGTAAGATGAGTGGATAACTGGCTTAGAGGCCGGTCCCAGAGAGTTGTAATAGATGGGATGGCCTCATCCTGGAGGGCTGTCTCCAGTGGTGTCCCACAGGGATTGGTCATTGGACCCTTGCTTTTTAACATATTTATTAATGACTTGGGTGAAGGGGTAGAATGCTCTATGATTAAGTTTGCTGACAATACCAACCTATGGGGAAATGCAGGCACGCCAGAGGATCAGGTAAGGATTCAGGGCAACCTACACAGACTGGTTCTATGTGCTGATCAGAATCAGAAGAGGTTCAACAGGGAAAAGTGTCGGGTCCTTCATCTGGGTAGGAAGAACCTTTACCATAACTATAGGATAGTCGGTAGCCTGCTGCCTGATGCAACATCTGACCAGGACCTGGGGGTTTACCAGCAGGGAGAATAGAACTCTGGTGTGCATCAGCTGATGTGTTGCCAGCAGATCCAGAGAAGTGCTCCTTCCCCTCTATTTGGCATTGGTGAGGCTGGGGGACTGTGACCAGTTTTGGGCAACACACTTCAAGAAGGGTGTGGATAAGCTTGAGAGGGTGCAGAGAAGGGCTACTTGCATGATCAGGAGCCTGGAGGAGAGACTCTGGGAAGTAGGGTTGTTCAGTCTGAGTAAGAAGAGGCTGAGAGGTGACTTTGATAGCCATGTATAAGTATGTTAGGGGGGGAGCACCCAGATCTGGGGGAGCAACTCTTCAGGAGGGCACCCCTTGGGAGGACAAGGACCAACAGTCAAACTAACAGAGGGAAGATTTAGGCTGGACATAAGGAAGAACTTCTTCTCTGTAAGGATAACTAGAACCTGGAACACACTCCTGGCAGAGGTGGTACAGTCGCCACCCTTGGAGGTGTTCAAGAAGAGGCTGGATGAGCACATCATTAAGCTAGTTTGAGCTCATTAACCTCCTGTCTATAGCAGGGGACCAGACTTGATGATCTTCCAGGTCCTTTCTGTTCCATTGATTCTATGATTCTATGAAACTGCAGAATTTATTGCTCCGGAGTTTATTGCTCCTGGGCACACACGTGAACGGTACCCAAAGAGACCACATTAAGGCTGGGGTCCAAAGGAAGAGTGATTTTTTTCAAGGTTTGTATATTACACTAGTTAACAGGGCTTCATATCATACCTCTTTAAAAAAAAATCCTGAATTAATATTCTGACATCAGTTTAACTTCCTTGTTAAACATTTGAAAATAAAGAATTATGTAGCTATTTTCTGTCTGCTAATTTTGGTTAACAACCCAAACTTTATATTATGACAGAACTACAGTTACCACTGTTTCTCCTGCTGGTGACAAATTAAACTAGAAAAGGTTAGTTTGTTAAAATACACCCCAGGAATGAAAAATAATGTGGGAAGGTAAGTCTGAGTAACAGATATGCTGTACAGTATAGAAATTCAAATGTGCCCTATATAAATTATTTTGCTAACGCATTTTTTCTTGATTGTACCTCACTGAACAAATGTTTCATACTTCTTTTGCATTTGCTAAATTAAATTATTCTAAATTTCAGCAGTAATTGTTTCTAACAATTCTGTGCTAATGGGCAGACAGAAAGTAAGTCATTCTAATTTTACCTGCAGATAGAGAAGAAATGTCCTCAAGTTTTTTGCTACCTGTCTTCTCTGGAGATATTTCATCTTTCCTATCAATCAAGGAGACATGAATGATTTAGTGATCAACATGGATGTGGTATTATCATGAGCAGAAATGTAATGAAATTCTGTCTTTTATATAAAATGTAATTTTAAATTCAAGAAGTTTTTTAATAAAATATTTCTATCACCTCCTTAAGCAAGGCAATGGAGCAATCAATTGTGTCTGGCAATTTATGGAAATATTTTTGTCTTGTTTTCATCCTAATAACCCTTCTTTCATTAAAAAGTAATTGTGTGAGATATATATACACCAATGAATTGTGTGACTGTCACAACTGTCATGAGCCAGCTGTGAGATTTCATGAGTGTTGCTATTCTATAACAATGATGTGGGACCCACATAGGAGAAAATGTGATAATAATGTTCATGTACAAATGATCAGGTTACATATTACGTTCTGTTTCTACTTTCATTAAAGCCCATGAAAATGTTGTCATTTAACTTAAGTTGGAGTAAACTGGGCCCTGAATAAGTAAATCTTGGTATGAAGATCCTCTGAACCAAATATTCTCTCCCTCACTGCACATCATCCTCAGATGAAGGATAGTGTAATCAGGTCTTCAGACTACTAATCTTTTAATTAAGATTGAACTTTTTTTCAACGACAGTACTCAGTTGATCTAATAAAAGATATCCATCTGAAGTTGTTCATCTTTAAGACATCTACCCAAAGAAGCTTGCCTGCCTATGTCTTTAGACCAACATAGCTGCAGCCAAAAAACCCTGCATTTCTAGGGAAATATTCCTGTAAGGCAGGGCAAAACTCTCATTGTTTTCTCTATACTACCTTAATAGGAAACGGCAAGATTCATTTTGAAAAATACAGATGGTACTTCAATCTGAAACTTGTTACAATTAGAATCTTGTTTGCTAATGACTCCATATGCAAAAATTGTATTTGCACAGTAAATGTATTTTAACTGATACTTCTGCATGGTTCTAAGTTATAGTAAAGTACAGATGAGTGCATTTTGCAAGAGATCTGGCTAGCTTTGCAAAGTTGGTGCTGTAGGTGTGTGTGGGTGTGCAAATTTTATAGTGGGGATGCTAAGGGTTGCTATAGTTAACTTTGCATAATTGTTTATATTTTAAAACTATTTAAAAATTAATTGCTTTCTGAAATTTTCATATTCTGGGCTACAGTTTTCCATGTTGAATATTTGAGATCTTTATTTCTTTAAGCTTTGAGTAAAAGCTTTTTAAGTGCTTTGGATTTCAAATGGGGAAAAAAATATCATTGCATAGAAAAATAAAGTCCTACTGCTGAAATGACAGAAGTAGAAAAATCTCAGATTTTCATGGAAATCACTATTACTGAGGATGTGACACTGAGTGAAGTGTTCTGGTGAAAACTGAGCTGAGTGGGAGAAAACAGAACATGGTAAATGCATAATATATTCTTAATTACGACAAGAATAAGCTCCTAGCATGAATGCTCAAGGAAGGTCATGCTAAGCATGCTGGAATAGATCTAGATATCTTATAAAGTGGGACTGAAAACTTTTTCTATGACTTGAAATAATGTGCAGCATTTCTTAGCACTGAGTGTGAAAGTGTGTGACAGAAAGTTCATGAATGGTACATAGCAACCTATTTCTCCAAACAATAAGGGAGATTTAAGTATAGCAACATAGTCATAGCCACCTACATTCTCAGCTAAAATATGAATAACTTTGTAGTCATCTACCTCACCCTTCACACTGCATCTAGGGAAACCTGTGTTGGGCAGGAGGTGCATAAGAAATTAGTTCTGAAATTAGTCAAAACAATCAACCTTCAGGGACCAAAATCTGGGACAGAGCCCCAGACACTTGTAGAACACCAGAACTAAAAATAATTTCCACTGCAGGTTCTGGTTAGCATAGCTGCCTTAGTACAGTATTATGGGAGGGATATTTAGATCTGCTAATTAGCATAGTCACTTCTATATGGCATTGTGCCTGGAAAAATTAGTTCTGTTGAGAGACAGAGCTAATTTGCCCAGGTGAAATGTATGGCTATAATGCTTCTAGTTGAGGAGGTAGCCCATAGTTCTCTCTTGTGCTTTAGACACGCATTATTTTTATAGACCTACAAATATCAAGAGCATTAAGGGGCATGAATGTGTGCACAGCCCCCTGGATGCAGCACAACAAGGACATGCTCTCCAAATGTTTATAGACATGCTCTGGGAGGCAGGGGGTGGGGAGGAGAGGCTAATTAGTGAGCTGCATTAATTAAAAGTGCCCAAGCATCACGTGTATCAGTGTCCCCACACACAAAAAATGGCAACAGGGCGCTTTGAGCTAAAGCTCACGTGATAAGTTTTAGTTCAAAGCACCCTGCCACGATTTTTCAGCTTGGGGACACTGATACACATGATGTTGGAGGCTACTGGAGTGCATTAGTTTTTGCATTATTTTTTATTTTGCTCCGACACGCTAGATCTACTGCACATTGTAGCAGCCTTCCTGTATGTGCGTAAGTGCTGTCCAGCTGCAACTGATAGGGGGGCTACTCCTTAGTTTCCCTCCACTCCTGGGGGAGCCTTTCAGTGAGTGGCATAGGTTCACTGACAGCATTGCCCAATATACACATTGCACAATACACCACTTGTAGTGGCACACTGGATCAGATGGTCTCTATCACCCAATCAGCCCTTGTAGCCCCATCACTGTTGCTCCCCAGTAGCAACACTGAGAGGGCTGCCTGCAAGCTGCCCAGGTCAGCAAGGGCTGGTTGGGCAGTCATTGCACAAAGGCTGATTGAGTAGTCTTTCACTGCTGCAGGCCTGTCTCTGTTGCCACCAGCAGGAACAGCTGATGGAGCTGCCTGCAAGCCAGCCCTTGCAGGGCTCTGGGATAGCTTGTAGGCTGGGTGAGCTATCAGGGAGCCTCCTTGGGAGGAGGGAGGCGGAACAGAACACTAAAGGATATAGGAGGGTCTCTCAGACTTGTACACACATTACATTTGTCACAGAGGCACCATTTTGAGACAGATTGGCAATTTTTTTGATGCAACAAACAGCCTGCATTTGTAAATGCTGGCTTTTTGTCACAGTAAAACAGAATATATAGTGCAACAAATGTAATATCTCCAGGGCTTTGAACAAGTTGTATAGTTACACTCATGTGAAACCAGGCAACCATGTACTGAGTCATGCACTGAGCAGATGTAGAAGAATGCTGCTTAGTACTGATCACAGAACCAACATTTCAAATTCAGGAGAAAAAAATCCCATCTCATGGACTACTCAGGGAGCTGAGGACTCACTCCTAAAACTCAGGACTGGTCTGGAAAATTCATGGTGGTTGATCATTTTTAAATTAGTCTACCTGACTCCTTGTACAGCTGCTGTCTGCAGGCCCAGTCCAGTTTGCAGTGGAGAGAACTGATAATATCCTACAGAATTCAGTGGGAGTTTTAATTAAGCCTTTAATTAAATAACATCTTTACGAGAGGAATAAAACCCTCCAAATAATCAAGTTAAAGTCAAGGAAGACAAGTAAAATTCTTGTGATAAGTTAGTACATGAGTAAAAATGCATTATACATTGCTACAATTGGATGTCTAAAGTTGATGGTCCAATGACATTTGTATTCATTTGAGACTGTAGATGATCATGTGATTCAGACTGTACTATAATGTTTTTATAAAAGGAGGGAAAGCTCAAGGTTAAATTATTTGTTACTGTCAAACCTTTAAGAGCTTAGTTGTGAATATTCTCTTAACATAGGATAGGGCCTGAGACACTACTTTATCGCACTGGTTTTACGTTTGTACCAGTGCATTGACTTAAGTAGAGTATCACTGGTTTAAAATTAGTGCAATGAATCAAGAATTAAATGCTTCCACCTTTTTATAGAAAAAATAAATTGCACACAATAATAGCAACCTACTTGATATCAGTATGTACATTTCTATAGGCTTTCTAGGAATGTACTGAGGAATTTAGCAAGGTTCCACCTTTTCCTCTTCTTTATGTGTACTTAATATTATGAGTATTTATTCACTATATATGATATTCCAGGCTTGTAGCCCACTGAATATTGTGGATGATCTGCTGTCTGTCAGGAATCTACAGTTACGTCTATTAGACACAACAAACAGTCTATTACATTTTTATTTTAGATGCATGGAAAGTAGCTAGTTTTGAATTTATCTTTTCAGAATATGGCATGATTTATCTTGTTTCTGTAGCTTCTAATGAACTGCAAAACATTTTTTGGTTTGGTAAAAAAATGTGCAATTTGTTATAACATACAAAACAATGTGTATAAAAATTAAATTGTTTTAAATCAAACTAAGGCTGTGCACAGATGTATTACCAAACAGTTTTAAGGGAAGTGGTTTTGGCTTGGAAATGCCTGTCAGCAGATATGATGCAACTGTTTTGCCTGTCCATCACTATACAAGCACAGTGGAGCTAGACTGCTTTAATTTTAAACCTGAACAAAACATATTTAAATGCTATGGTTTAACTTACGCTTATAGCACAAAAGATTAGACAGATCAAACTGTACCATCATGAAAAAATCTTTTATCTTGTATAAAGGAAATGGGATGATTCAATTAAATGGGAATTTTTAGGGACATATTGCTAAGGATGTGGACAGATTAACAGTTAAAGAACTTTAAGAACTATATAGTGCCTTAGTGCTCATCCACTATAACCAAGTTGAACAGGCACTAGCCCACTATGGTTTGTGCAGCCGTAATTATATGGAACAATATTACTGCTCCCCATAAAATAAAGGGTATATACATGTATCTCTCATATCTCCCACACAGTGTATACCAGAGTGCTGTACACACATATAGTCTCTCAGAGCCATATACATCTTTCACATACCTTTTTCAAAAGAAGGCAAACAACATCAACTGGTATGTATTCTACTTATGCTTTACTCACCTTTCCTGGAGGGTCCTATGTTTTACTCGCTGCAAAAAGATTGGGAAAAAAAAGCATTTTACTAGTAGGCGTGTTCAATCGAAGAGAAGAAGCCTGTTCATACTTTATAGTTAATCTTTGTCTAGGACACTTTTCTTTATGCAATGAATGTTGTTGTTGTTTTTTTTTGTGGTGCCCCCTTCCTCTCTCTTTGCCATGATTGCATAAAATTCAGGGGTTGGATCTGAGAAATGTTTACTTCACTTGTTTATATACAAAGTTAAATAATAAGAATAATTCTTACCCGCTGGATTATTTCCAGATGCGCTTGGGAGTTGCTGAAGTTTTTCCCAATGTCAAATATGCAGAATGTTTCTCGCTGGCAGGCACCAACCCAGTTCTGATATTCAGAAGTATCAGGAATCCTATCCAGAAAGATCCGAAAGGCTTCCCATACAACTTCCTGGCAAACTAGAGGAAGCAGAACAGAGTCAAGGAGGAATGTAGTCGACCCACAAGAAAGTTCCAGGTCATGTTTTACAGCATCTTAGAAACCAAGATGTCCCTTTTTGGCATTTGAAATGTAAAAAATCTATTCTAATAATTTAGAAAAAAGGATTTACTTAGTGGTCTATAAGTTTGTGCTGACATTTGTCTTTATAACTGAAGGGTTGGGACTTTGAGTGCAAAGAGTGCTGACTTGCCTGGAATGACAGCAGGGATGAATGTAACCCGAGGCTCTTATCAGTACAAATAATTAATACACAATGAACCCCAAAACATACTTCTTTCCCCACAAGGATGCTAAGATCACTGAGATCAAAGCAGCAAAAGGAAAGAGAAACTGGCCAATGTGGATACTTTAATTGTTGTATTTTGTAGCTAGCCAGCTAAGTTAATATGTAGGTTAGAAATGCTCAGCTACTAGATACAGAACAAGCTAGACACATCTATGCTTTAAATAAATTTCACTGACATTCCAAAGGAAGCTTGAAAATGCAGCAGACTAAGAAAAAATATCGCTGATTTTCTAAGTAGAAAGTTTAGAGCAAATATAGTTTTTTCCAAAGCCTCTAAGAGATCAATTAAATCTCCTAGTCAAAGGAGCAGCCTGGTGTTTAAAGCTGTGCACTCTTTTTCTGTTTCACAAGACACTTAAAAACCTGATTTTATCCTCGTGTAGGTAAAATCCCCCAGGAAATGATGTTTTCTTTCTCTTTGTACATATGTATACATTCATTTATTAAACTTCAAGTCATGCCTTCATGATGATAAATCACCAAATGGTATGCCAAGCTTGGAGTGGGCAGGAGAATCACAGGTATCCTGGAAAACATATACCACTGCTCTATATCAATGGGGAGATAAAGGTGAACAGACAGAGAATGAGCCACAGAGGGAGGTTACAGAACAAGAGCACAGGGGGCAAAAGCTGTATTGTATCTGGGACTGGTTCTGCGAGAAGCTCCACAGAGGACTTTGTTCACTATCTCCAGCAATTAATCATACAAGATGAATGAAAACACACATTATAACCTGATGCATTATAACCTGACTTGTTTGGTGCCCTGGCCAAACCTTCTCTGTATGGGAGGGGATACTGACTACCAGTGAACAGGGGGAGAGGGAAGGAGGATCTTCTGTTGGAAGGGTAGCATGTAAACCTGTGGCTTAAACCAGGGTCTTATGGGCTCATGGGCTGAGGCCTGGGCTGTAGCTGACCCCAGCTGGCCTGGTCTAACCCAGGAGGTACTCCATGGGGGATCATGGTGCCCAGTGGAACCAATGGGAGCCACAAAGCTCTGATGGGAGGGGTCCTCCCACTTCCTACAGGGCCTTGTCCCTGTAACAACACTGTCAGGCTCTCTGCTGTGAACTTGACACTGGTATTCCCGGTCCTGCCTTGGACGCTGTTGCCTTGCCCCTGTCCTGCTTCTGCCCTGGAATTTGCTGTCTTGCCTGAGGCCTGCTCCCCTCTTGCCTCTGCCTTGGCACCTTGTACCCCACTCCTGCTACCTTACCCTGTCAGCTGGATTCCTTAGCTCCTGACCACTGGCCTGGCCTTCACTATGGACTTGCATGATCCATCAGACTTGGACTGACACCTGGAGCTGCAACCTTGGCTTGATTTCTGGACCGATAGTACTGTAGACCCTGGGCTTCTGAACCCTGACCCCATTATGTCTGGGTCATGCCCAAGAGAACATGCGTGTAATGGGACACAGTCCCATGCTATTAGCACTTCTCCCTTGCAAATAGCTGTCACCTCTCTCTTCTGATCAGATCACCAATTTTGTAGGATGAAGCTGGGGGCCCAAATGTTAATGGATCCAATACCCCCCTCACTGTTATCAATACCCTTCCCTCTACCCTTCCTGTAGCATCTTGCCCCCACTGATGTGTTTTCCAACCTCTGAATTTGCAATAATAACAAAGGGGAAATGCATGGTTTCATAATCCAAAAAACCCAGTAAAAATCCCTCTTGGTAAATCAGCTGTCACTTAAAATACAAAATTGTTCTGAGCTTTATGAACTCAGTGGCTATAACTACTTTCTCCATGTTTGTGGATGAAGCTTATTCATTACTTGGATGATTCCATTGTTAATTATTTTCAGTGTCACAAAATCTGGATTTGCAGCTTTTTAAAAAGGTAGTGCTCACTCAGAATGAATGCTCACACTCCTTAAAATATGCATGTTTCAAGTCTAAAGCCTTCAGTGAATAAAAAGGTCAAACATATTATAAATGTATTATAATGTTAACATATAGTGCATCTCAGCAATTAAAAATGGCACTTATAAATATAATTTTGAATAGTTTATAATGTTGCTTGAAACAGAAAGTTTTCTGAGATTTATGACCACAGAGGTTATGACGTTTTACTTTACATTTTTGATATGTTCTTTAACTGAAGAAGAGATTATTGTTTATAGAAATGGTTTACAACCATTTTTTATTTATGCACCCCTAAACAATTTTGAATGGGGCTGCAGACTCCTTTGAATAGTAAGTGTGGGTATTCACATACTTTGGGTTGGTCATAGTTATCTTTAACAGACCCATTAGATGTAGTCTGTGGACCCCCCAGGGTCTGCAGACAGCATGTTGAAAACCACTGGTCTATAGTATCTAAATTCTAGGACTCTCTACAATTAACCTACTCGGTAATAAAATGGCTATTCTCAAACCTTGGACAGGTGTATGCTGTGCAAAGCTGCTCACACAGCTGTGCCAATACATCTCCATAATGAGTTGCATAACATCTGCCTTTTCCTCCAAGTAGAGATCATCAAATTCTTAACAGCAACTATGTTACCTAATGAATTTTCTACTCAAGAATGATCATTGAGCAGGTTGTTTTTTCAAAAGATTTGCTCATGATCAGCACTCATTTAGGCCTATATTCTGCTGCCTATTCATCATCCCACTCCAAGCAATATTTGCTGCATAAGGTATTCCCTGGTTTAATTTAAGGATGGTAAAACCTGCCCCATATAAGCAGTTTACTAATGAGCACTCATGATTTATAATTCATGCTGTGTGGCTAGTCCCTTCAGTCACATGTGGTATATTTCATGCTTCTTGATTGTGTGATTTAAGTTCCATAAAGGCTCCTTTTCCTCTTTGCAAATTATTTGTAATATACTTTTCCTATAAAAGTGACGGGGAGCTTTGGATCAGGACCTTAGAATGCTGATACTGTTAAGTGGCCACATATTCATCATAAACAACTGAGCTAGAAATATTAAACACTACTTAATTTATAATCTATATCAAGTGTTGTAAAATAGGATGGACAACCGATGGCATGAGCATCAGAAGTGTCATAGACAACTTCTTTGCATCTGGCATGTGGCAGGTCAGGAAGTGGATAGGCAGCACACAAGCAGATGGGGCAGGAAGCAGAAAGAAAGGGAGGAGATTGGGCAGGTAATATACAGTAGGGAGCAGAAAGCAGAGCAGCAGAATGGGCAGAGAAAGTGGATAGGAGTGGCAGTCTGGGAGGGTGTTAAACTAAGGGTGTGTAAGAAGTTACATTTATCATGTGATGAAGCCCTGGAAAATAATCTATAGCCATGAAACAGCAACCATTTGCAGCTGGAGAGTGCTTTTAAATTGCATGAAAGATTGCGTGAAAATGTAACCCTTGTCTGATGTAATATCAGACGGGGGTGCTCTAGGGTAGCGTGCCTTAGAGAACCTTTGGTTCCCTGTGAGGATTAACTTTGGGTGATTCCACCCGCATCTCATGTTTCTTTGCAGAGCTGGGCTAGCGCTTGCACGAGAGAGCACTGGCCCAGCCCCACCTTAAGAGCTGTCAGAAAGCAGACAGAAAATTGCTGTCTCCTCCCTGCATAGCTGGATGTGTGTGGGGGGGAAGGGAGCCCCCCCATACTCTGTGTGCCCCCCCATCCCTGATGGGTTCTTGGGCAGGTCCATGCAGTGGGAAGGGAGGGGAGACTCCCTTCCCCCGCCCCCCATCCCCTGCATGAGCATTTTTTAGTGCCAGAGCTGGTGGGGTGGACGGGGACAGAGCTCTCCTGCCTTGTGGGCCTGGCCTGACTACCTCTGCTGGGGTCTTGAGGGGAGTTGTGCAAGGGTCTTGATAGTGGCAGAAGCTGTTGCCCCTGGAGCTGGGATGGGGGAAATGGAGTCTCCTGCATCACAGGACCTGCCCAGTTTCCCACAAGATCCCTGCAAGGGTAGCCAGGCTGGGCCCATGAAGTGGGGGGCTCTACTTCCCACACCCACCCCAGCTCCAGATGTACCAGCCTTGGCCACAATCATGATACTTACATGGGGGATGGGTAGCCTCCCTACCACTTGGGGCCCAGCCTGGCCTCCCTCAAAACCTCAACAGGGGTAGTTGGGGGGCTGAATGGCAGGGGGTCTCCGTCTCTTCTCACCAGCCAATGCTGACAGTTGCCAACTAGCAGAGGGGAAGGGCTGGGGAGAGGGGCAGTCTGCCTGGTGGTATGGGCCAGTGAAGGCAGACTGAGGCCCCCCTCCCACCCAACAGGTGAACATGTGTTGGGTTCCATGGTGCTCTAACTCATGGCACTTTGTGTAAAGCATCATAGTTAGAGCACCTACCCAACAGGCTGCCTGAACTTCTTTACACACCCTAATTTGTGGCATGCCTGCCAAAAAGGTTGACTCCCACTGTTGTAAAACCTGTGGGAATTGTACTAGTTTTAGGAACAGTATTCTTGACTCAGTTTCTCCTGCTTCTTGTGTACTACTGGCATGGTGGCAAATGGGGGAATACCTTCTCTGGACTGGAACAAGTGAGACTCATCACTGTCTGACTCTGTAGGAAAATTTTATTTGGAACCATCAAGGACAGTACATCTAAATGGAGTAGTCTCGTGAAGCTATGGATGCCGTTCAGACAGAAGCACCCTGAAGAACAATGGACTAGCTAAAATAGGGACTGGAAAGTTTCTGAAGCACTCCTGCAAAGATTGAAAAGCAAAAAAAGCCAAATCTTTGAATCTGAATCGAATCAGGAGATCAATTAAAAGGTCTGAATGGAATTGGAAGCCTCCAAATCAATTCAGAAAAGATTCAGTGCCAATTCGGAGGTTCGGCCATAGACTAAACAGGCAGCTGGACACAGCTGCCTCCAGCTGGTAAGTCTGTTGTGGTGGGCAGAGCGGGGAGGAAGGGGCATGGGGGTGGGGAAGATCAATGCCCCCACAGCGAGGGAGGGATTGAGGCTGGGGCTGGGGGTGGGGCTGGGACAAGCTGCCCAGCTGGGGCGGGGGGTCCCCCAGCCCGTCCCCTGCCAGTCTGTGCTCTACATTGTGGGTGGAGCCAGGGCTGTGCTTCAGGTGGCTAGCCTTGGCCGCAGCCCAGAGCGCAGCCCTGGCTCTATCCGCCCTACAGAGTGCAGTGGAGTGGGGGCTATAGGGGGGCTGCAGCCCCCCTAAAATTCCCCATAGACCCTGCTACTGGTTCCACTCCGATCCGGGTACACACGCCCGCCGCTATGCCCTGTCGGTGCTTGCCTAGCCAGGGTGAATCTGTGGCTTGTCCAGGGGCATGGGGAGGCTGAGGGCATAGATCCTGCTCCCAGCACCTTCTGCCACCCACCCAGAGTGCAGCCCAGCCCAGCCCACCCTGCACATATCCAGGGGCACACACCCGCTGCCATGCCCTCCTGGACTGGTGGTGCACGGTGGTGCACAGTGGTGGGAGCTCCCTGAGTCCCATGCCCTCCCTGCCCCAGCTGGGCAGCTTGTTCCAGCCCCAATCCCTCACTCGCTGTGGGGGTATTGATCTGCCCTTCGCTCCCAGGTCTTTCCCTCCCCACTCTGCCCACCACAACAGATTTACCAGCTGGAGGCAGCTGTGTCCAGCATGGTGAGGACAGCTGCCTGTTTGTACTGACTACAAACTCATCAGGGGAGATCATCAGCAAATAGGAAGAGCCCTTTTCTCCCCAGCATCACCTGGGGTGATAAGGAACAATGGTAATAAACTGATGGAGAATAGGTTTAGGTTAGAGATCAGAAGGCAATATTTTACAGTTAGGGTGGCCAGAATCTGGAACCAACTTCCTAGGGAAGTGGTCCTAACCCCTACCTTGGGTAAATTAAAAAAGAGGTTAGATGATCACCTGTCTCGGGTGTTGTGAACCCAGCATTCATTCCTGCCTGTTGTGGTGACCCCAGCTTTCATTCCTGCCTGTGGCAGGGGGTCAGGCTAGATGATCTGTTCAGGTCCCTCCTGACCCTAGCTACTATGAAACTATGAAACTGTTTTGTCTATGGCTGAATCTGCAAATCAGCGCTGAATCTTTGAATCCAAATTGGCTGAATTGAATCAGGACAGTGATTCAAATTACTGAATTGAATCACTGTCCCTCCAAATCGGATGAATCCGAATTCAAAGCGAATACTTGCCACTTCACACAGGCCTACTGCATAGTAATCCCAGAGCTGTATCACGCTGCCTGAGTATCTGCCTGCAGCAGCACTGTTGACTTGAGAGGGGCAGGGGGCAGTGTCCTGGATTTCACATTGTTCCATATAGGTATAGTACAGTGTCCCTCACAACCCCTCCTCTTACAACTGATCTTCTTTGTTAAATATTCTTTGGTGCAAGGGCAGGAGCCCTCAGTCTTACATCTGCCAGGGTGTTTTTTAACCAATAGGGTACAGAATTAGTCCATCTCTTTTTCTTTCTCTTTTTGGTCTAATTCAGTTTAATTATTTCATGTAAAGTAGAGTAGCTTCTAGGGATGACTGAAAAAGCCTCACCCTAGAATAACCATTAACCAAGTGTCTAGAACACTCCCTTGGGGTATGGGAGCAGGAGGCTCAAGTCTCTGATGCAAAGCTAAGACTCCTATATTTTAGGAGAATGCTCTGAGTGGGCTGCCTGGGGTGACAGACACACTATTAGGCTAATGTGCAGTAAGCATCACTAAAAAAAACCATGCACCGGTGTGCATTTAGTTAGTACCTCTTATTAGAGGCACTAAACGAAATGCACAGTAATTAAGGCACATTAATGAACATGAAGATATGCCCACAGACTTGAACCCCTTAAGTGTTGTCTGAAAGTACCTAGTGGTTTTCATTCTGCCAATGAAATAGGCAGGGGAATAGCTAGGCTAAGAATTCTGTGCCCAGGACCTCTGGCCTTCAATCTGAACTAAAGGACCAAGCAGTGCTTCAGTGGCTTTGCACATGCCTGCCAGCAAAAACTCAGAAGCCTAGGCAACTAGGTTCAGCTTAGCAGTGATTTTCAGTATGCCAGTAATTCATGAATGGTGGACTTGGACTCTTGGGGCATCTTTAGACATGCTCTGGAGTGGGGAGCTTTAATTAGAACAACTCTGGGGAGCCACTCTAGTTAACTTGCTCACAGTGTCTCATGTATTCAGCATCCCGTGTGCAACAATGTCTTTATGTGACTAAGATTTGATCTGTGTCTTTCATAGTATTTCAGTTATTTGTGCATGCTCACAGTTATGTTCCAGCAGTGATGCTGCTTTCTTCCATTATAGTTCAAAAACAGGAAAAAAGAAGAATACCCATTTCTAGGGATTTTACGAAAGCATGCTTTATGGAATAGGGACTGTGTTCACCTCTACATTTAGAGAATGGCCTGCACCCTATGGACAGCATGATAATTTAAAAATGATTAAATAAATCAAGTACTTGATTACTCTTTCTAGAATCTATGCTGTTCTAGACAGTGAGGGAGTGAGCAGAAATGATGGGCTGTGGCATCTACTAGATCTTTGGGGAAGATCCATAGTGCAATAATTTGGTCTTTATAGTCTGTTAATCCAATGCCCACTAAATCTGCTAAAGAATGTGGTATTAACTCAGTACCTCTTATTTATATTACTCCATTCTATTCAGATAACTGCTAGTACCTTGTGCCACCATGGTACTTTGAGGTTGGTACACATAACTTTTCATCCATTTACATAAACATGAAATAGAGAATAGGTGCCAAAACTGCTGCCCAGAATTAGAGAATGGCACACTACAGAAGAGTTATTGCTGCATTCCCCAAATATGTACTAGAATTATCATCTCACCTCTTAATCTATAATAAGCTTGGTGACTGGTTAAAATTTGCTTCACTGATTCTTGTGGACAGACTTTCACACCAGTTGGGAGGAGAGATGACCTTTTTGTTCGATGCTTAGTCATATCAAATATCTTTCTGATGGTTGACTCTCTAGATTGCTTTGTTATTTTTTCTGAGGCATCTGCAAGATGTTTGGCTTCATCATGACTTATTTCTGTAAGAGGTAAAACAATAAAAACGCATGTAAATAGGTTAACATATAGCACATGGATAGAAGATATGTGCTGTAAGAAGAAAACCCCCATTGAAATCAAGCCAAAACCTAAGCACTGAATACCAACCAGTTGGTGAATATGCCAAGGTAGGGGCTGAACCAATGTGTTGAAGACAACGATCAGTTTATAGATATGGGAATCAGAAAATCTGGTTTCTGATTTCCAGTTTATCTAGCTGATCATTTGCTGTTGGGGTCAATTAAGATTAAATATTTTCAAAACTTCTAAATGACTCAAGGGACTAAATTCCATTTCCATTGATGATTTAGACCCAGATTCACATTGGGGAGTAGGCAGTGCAACTTCTAACTGTCAGGCACCTGACTCCTTCTGCAGAATGTGCAGCCCTAAGTTAGATATCCATGCTCTCCATCACTGCACAGGAAGAGTAAGGTTTCTCATGACTCAGATCTCTGTTGCCAGGACTATTTGGGCACCTATACACGAGTAGTGATTCTGCTCCGATGCGCTGTAAGCTTACAGCACGTCACAGCAGGCTCAATTAATTGAGTCTGCTGGAGCATGGTAATTACTGTGCTCAAACAGACTCCAGCGGCTCCTGTATCAGCATCCCCATGCTTAAAAATGGAGGCGGGGGCACTGTGACTAAAGCTGGTTCAATGATCTTTAGCTATAGTGCCCCTGCCACCATTTCTAAGCATGGGGACATTGATACATGAGATGCTCTGAAAGCCACTCTAATTAAAGCACACCCCGCCCCCCTCAGTTCCAGAGCATGTGTATAAATGCCTTTTATTAGACAGTCTCTGGTTAAAAAAACAGAAACAAGACCTGGCAGCTGGCATAAGAATCTAAATCTACCTCCTCTCAGGGGAGCGCCAGTACAATTAACCTTGGGGTTACAGCATTCTCTTGGAAAGTGGGAAATATTGGGCTCAAATCCCTGCAGCCGAGGTGTGCTAGAGCTCATTTCTCCCACACTGTGGCTGAATGCTGTAACTGCCAGCCTACTGAGCAGAAGGTGGGCATTATTAGTATTATCACAGGCTGAAATAAATGCGTCCATCTGAGTTAGCTGTGTTTTTCTGTCCACAGGACAGAACAGGGGTCAGTAGCATTTTGGAGCAGGGACCTGCTTTAACAGAGCATAGCTCCAAGTGTGGGCCACTTTCAACTGAGCCTGTAGACAAATTGGAAAGAGTCCAGCAGAGGGCAACAAAAATGGTTAGGGGGCTGGGGTACATGACTTATGAGGAGAAGATGAGGGAACTGGGCTTATTTAGTCTGGAGAATAGAAAACTGAGGGTGGGGGTGGGTGGGTGTTAATAGCAGCCTTCAGCTATGTGAGGGATGGTCCCAAAGACAATGGAGCTAGACTGTTCTCTGTGGTGGCAGATGACAGAGCAAGGAGCAACAGTCTCAATTTGCAGCAAGGGAAGTTGAGGTTAGAAATTAGGAAAAACTTTCTCATTAGGAGGATAGTAAAGCATTGGAACAGATTACTCCAGGGGTGGGTAAACTATGGCCCACAGGCTGGATGCAGCTCGCAAGGCCATTCTATCTGGCCTGTGGGACCCCTAAATTTTTTTTGAAAATTAAAATGTATCTGTCCTTGGTTCCTGTCAAAAATGACAGGACCCAGGGGCAGTAGGACCCAGGGAAAGCCTGGTGGGCTCCTGCAACAGCAGGGTGCACCCAGCCCTGCCTGGGACCACGTGGCTGCCCCGGTGTGGGAAGCTCAGGTAAAGATGGGGAGGGCAGGGGAGGAGTTGGTGCAGAGTTCTTGGAAAAGTGGCCCCTTGCCTGCTCCTTGGCTGGCGCTCCCTGCTATAGCCACTCACAGCCCAAGCAGGGCTGTCCTGAGCAGGCACAGGCAGCCCCATGTGGGCTTTGAGTAGCTGCAGTGTGGGGCACCAGGCGCAGGGTGGGCGAGAGGCTGCTTTTCCCCACGCTCAGCAATAGCTTGTAACCCAGCTCCATGCTGGCTCTGGACTCGCTCTTTGGAGCTGTGCCATGGCAGTAGCTGTGGCTCCCCTGCTTGCCACACTGGGAGGAGTTTGCTGCTGCTGCCCGCCTGGAGCTCGCGCCATTGTAGGCTGTGGTGAGGCTGCCATCACTGCCTCTGGGCTGCCCAGCACGCAAGCTCTGGATGAACAGCAGCAGCAAACACTGCCCAGCACAGCAAGCGGGAGGGCTGCAGCTGCTGCCGCGGCACAGCCCCAGTGGGTGAACCCGGAGCTGGTGCGGGGCCCAGACTGGCAGAGGGGGTGGGTTACAAACTGGTGCTGAATGTGGGGGAAAAGCAGCCCCTTGCCCTCCCCATGGCCGGCACCCTGCACTGTAGCTGCTCATAGCCCACATGGGGCTGCCTGTGCCTGCTCAGGACAGCCCCGCGTGGGCTGCGAGCAGCTGCAGCAGGGAGTGCTGGCCATGGGGCGGGGAAGGGGCCGCTTTTCCCCGCCCTCCGCACCAGCTCCTTCCCTGCCAGCAAGCAGGGGGTTGGGGCTGCATGCTGCCCCCTGCCTGTACCTTGGGGCTTTGAGTGGGTGTGGGAGCACAGGGCCCACACCGGTGTCCCAGGGTCAACGCTAGCAGGGCCCAGAGCAGGGCAGCAGTGGTACAGGGTCCCGGCCAGCAGGGGCTCTATGGAGCCAGGCCAGCTCCCCCCTTCTTCCTGCTGGTGCAGCCCAGCCCAGCTTCACAGACCCCTGCCAGCCTGCACCCTGCTCTGGGCCTCACCAGTGCTGGCTCTGGGATATTGGTCCCATAACATTGAGATATTGGTCCCAAGATGGTGACCAAGGGGCAGGGCACCTGTCAAGAGGCGGGGCTACCCATGTGGCCCTCAACAGCTTGCCAAAGATGGGTAAGTGGCCCTCCGCCTGAAATAATTGCTTGTCCCTGGGTTACTCAGAGAGGCTGTGGACCCTCCATCTCTGGAGGTTTTTAAGACCCAGCTGGACAAATTCTTGGCTGAGATGATCTACTTGGGGATGGTTCTGCTTTCAGTAGGTGGTTGGACTAGATGATCTCCTGAGGGCCCTTCCAACCCTAATTTTCTGTGATTTTATGATCATCACTTTTCACCATCATCACACCCACAACTACAATCTCACTGTGTAGGAGCAGCCTGCTGTCTCCACAGGTTGGATAAAATGGCTGTAGGTTGGGGAACTTTGCTCCCCAAAATGAAGGCACATACTGAACTTTGTGGCTGCTGGTGCATGGTCAGTTCAATTTTCTCTTTGTAACTTAGGTATCTAGACTCCACCTAAATCTTTTTAGCTGTCTATGCAACCAGTTTTAGTTCTGCTTTAGATGACTTTAGAAAATAGGGATTTTGCTTTTGAAATGTTATCTATAATCTCTCTGTGCCACAATTTCCGCATGAAAAAGTGAAAATGGCTATTGCTTATGACACTTAACACCTCAAAGGCATGTTCTGAGTTTTCATACTAATTTAAATACTTGCAGGAAGATGCTTCAGAGGTGCAAAAAGCTCTGCAATGCGCTGTACTTGCTAACTAAAACCAAATAATTGAGAATTCAGACCCAGAACCTCAAGTTACTTAGCTTCAAACTAGCACTGAAATCAATGGGAGCTAGGCATCTAGATATCTTTGAGGATCTGGGTTTCATTGTTATTTAGTTTGGGAGTAACACCTACAAAAAAGGAGAAGCACCTCTGTAACCAGAAGGATCCAACTACAGTTCTTGTGGATTGCATTTTTCCTATTTCCAAGTTATACACAAGATGACACAGCACGTCAAGTTTAAAGTGAAAAAAGTTAACAGCATAAAATAAAATTAGAACTCTTACATTTAAATGATCTGAAAAAGTAGCAGTCTGATGGAAAAAAATGAAACAACTCCTGGAAGACGTAATTAGGATATTTTAGATTCTGTTGTTTGTTACTTAATTATAATATTGATGTTAAACTCAACTTGTAAGGATTCTTTTGAGGCATTTTCCCAGACCTCGTATTCTCACCATATACCAAAATAAAGAAAAAAACCACAGTAAATAGAATAAATGGTTTGCTGAAAGAACTAGGGGAAGGGATGATTTTTTAGATAATTGGAAAAATTTTTGAGGCAGAAAATAAGAGGGTGACATAATGTTCATGTAGCTTGGATGCTGATGAATTGGCTGTAAACAATGATTGCTTTTGGAAAATGTTCAAACTTTCTTAGTACAGGAGAAAGGAGCTAATCTGTTTTCCAAGAGACCAAGTTTACAAATAATAAGAATAAAAGAAAAAATTAAAGATAAAAAAAATCTGTTTTCCTATGAAATGGAAGAAACAACCTAAAACAAAATAAAAGCATTCATTATTCTGTCAGTTGTTCTAGGATGGATGATGACAAAATAAAGAATATAAAAATGAATTATCTTGACAGCTTGAAACTCGGTGAATTATATTCTGAAAATTGGGGAGGAAAAGGAGAAAAAAACAGGAATAGAAAAATTGAATGTGACAAAGAAATGGTACTTAAACTCTTGGGATGGATGAAGTTCTCTGGGTATACATGGCTGGAGTTCTTAATTAACATCTGAATAAGTATCATATTGTCAACATGGTGGAATTATAGTTATTGCATCTTGTATAGTAATAATTAACGACACCATGTGACATAAGCAGATCTCTTGTATGTGAAGAGTTGACCACTTGGTTATAAGGAGTACCATGCAGAAACTGAATATTAAGTGGGGCTAATGCACATAATTTTGGCCTTTCAAAGCACACTTTAGGTTGAACAGCACCAAGTTCTAGACCTGCAAAGTGGAACTCTGAAATCATTGGCAAGTTAAGTGAAAATGAGGATACAGTTGTACAGCATGTCAAATCAAATCATTGTGGAAATCATTATTTTTTAAAATGATGTTTGACTGAGCGATATCAGTGAAGGCAGGGAAGATTCACACCTTATAACCTAACTAAATTGGAGATGTATAGCATGAGCTTTCGTGAACCCT